GGGTGAAGGAGAAGGACGAAGAGAGAGACGGAGCGAAAAACAGAGAGAAACAGAATGAAGTAATAGAAAAAGAGAGGACTGTTAGCGAAATGCATTACTTTACACTGGAACTAAACAATGGCATACATATGCATCGTCTCTCGTTAGCTTTCTGACAGTCCATACAACCGTACTTTTACATTGACTGTGTTCAATAGTCGTTGAAAACAACCAGGTGAGTGAACCTGGAAGATGCAGTTGTTATTCACACACACAAAAATCTTAGTTAGGTCATTATTCGCTTGGTATAAACCTTTCAGGCTGTAAACAAGAGAACGCCGTCTTATTGCTCAGTAATTGACAAGCCATTTCATATTTTTTGCCCATCATTAATGTACTATCTTTTTCATATTAGTATGGACATTGACTGTTCCCTAGCCGAGAAACGTGACTTTGTTGAATATGACACGGTGATTAAACAGGCACAATGACCCCGCGTTATGAAATCCGTTTTGTAACTCAGTAGCAGTAAGGTGTAATATGTCTGTGCAGAGTTATAGCATAATCCGTGGAGCAATTCAATCCGTTACACGAGTATTGAAATCAGCAAGTGACTATTTCAGTTACATTATTGTAACTGAATCTGTACCAGCAAGGCCAATTTAAATACCAGTATCGAGATTTGCCCAGAGGAATGACTACTTGTATAACAATATCTGTTGTTTTTTTTACATTACAAAACGTTATCCATTTAGGAAATTGACATAAAACTGTGGAACGAATGAAACTTCATATTTAGAGACTGTGATTATACAACATTGTGTGAACCGAGGACATTGTGGTAAGACGAAATATTGCAGGAAGGACCATCAAACATTTCAAAGCCATTTGAATTCGAGCCTTGAACTTGCCGTGCGGCAGGCAGATCAATTAATTCCTCGGCTTACAGCACTATAACCTATCCATAGGACAAGAGTTACTGTACTCGATCTCAACGCGTTTTTACCTTACTTCATCGCGCTCACAACAAGGCTCCTCGATCTCAACACCTTGCGGTTTTCCTTGAAGCTCACTTCAAAAGGCATCGGCCATGTTTTTCGTAAGGAAAGTTTCAGTAAATTCAAGGACTCGTTCAAGTATCTATAAATTGTTAGACATGTTCATCATGATGTCATTGTGGTTGTATTCCGTTAGAGTTGAGCATAATCGCTGTTCGTGAGAACTCTAGCCTCACAGCCTCGTAACTATTCGTCCAGGATGTCGCTGTGCCTTTCAACGGTCGATGGAACAATTTCTAAACGCGCTCCATTCTGAGTCAGGAGGAATCTTTGAAATTTTAAAGTCGTTATTATAACTTTACAAGATAGCAATGTATTCTCCTAGGTACGATTTCAGTATACTGTAGAACTTCGTTCACTTCCGCGTGATATCGTCGCAGTGTGTGTATGTGTGCGTGTGTGTGTGTGTGTGTGTGTGTGTGTGCGCGCTCGCGCGCGCGCGCGTCTCTGAGTGTCTCTTGCCGCGTTGTGAAGCCTTAGGCTAGTACCGCACAACGACATTTTTTGCGTATCAAAACAGATATCGCACTAGGACAGGACTGACCCGGCGCATTAGGCAGCTTCTTTGTTGTTGTCCAAGGCGGAGTTAAAAATGCATTCCAAAAATTTCTTAAGTATTGTCCAAATAAAAAAAAATAAATGTCCGTAATCAGCGACCCCAAAATTAGCAAAAATCACGCAAGAAACTCAATTTAATACCCGATTACGAAGTTGAATTTTAATCAATTACAATGTTTGTGTGCGTGTTTCACCATTTGGCCAGTACTAGGCCTAGATCTAGATTGCATCTTGTCTTTTATGTGTTGATTGCAATAGCCAACATCAGCCTTGTTGTACAAACATGGTTTATTTTCCTCTGCACAAATAATGTTTTCTATCCAATTTGGATCAATACCCATTTTGACGAGAATAGACTGTTTAGAAACAACCGAGCGACTGCAGCCGACAATAAAGTTGAGGATCGAGGCAAAACGCGACACAGAGGCCTACTGCACCGTGTTGTGTGTAGAAGCTTTAACCAGAGACTTAGCAACGTAAACGTTTACATTGCTAGGTCTCTGCTTTGACATACCCTCAGATGTGCAAAGCACCGGGTGACCTTGATACACAACTTCACCATTGGTGATTAATTAAAAAATCATTTGCTAAAATTTACATAGTATCGCATCAAATCAGGTTCCCCACTAGCCATTTTGCTTATCTTGAGACGCTTATTTTGAATAGGAAATCAAATTTGAGATGCGTTAATTATTTTCACAATTTTGTGCTCAAAATTTAATCCTTCGTGGAGGCAAATTTTAAAGTGATTATACGCCACAAGGCGCAAGCTCCACGTTCTTGACAGCTGGCGCCACCAAGTCTGGGACAGTTTTGTCCTAATGCGGTATACGGCTATAATATTTCTCTATAATCACACACAGACGATATTTCCCCAGGACTGGGGTTGTCCTGTCCCACCGGTTTTGTAGCAATTCACAACTGATCGGGACTCAAATCGACCAGAATGTCACGTCCCATTAGGTGCGGTGCATTACACTCTAATTCAAAGGTTTCAAAATCCCGACTGGTCTGTCCCAGGACAAACTGTCGTAGTGCGGTACTAGCCTAAATCACGAAAACAGTCCCCAAGCAACCCATGTTTAAGATAAATTGGTATTATTATTACTATTATTATTACTATTATTATTATTATTATTATTATTATTATTATTATTATTATTATTATTGTTGTTATTATTATTATTATTATTGTTATTATTGTTGTTGTTATTGTTGCTGTTGTTGTCATCATTATTATAACCATAATCATCATTTTTACCATTAATTTTTTTTCTAAATTAATTGTTTATTGATTGGGTGACATGCCAATTTGTCTCACAACCTACCCGTTCTCACAGAATGAGCGCAGCATGGCGGGCGGGTCCATTGCTCGTCGTGACCTCAGCCATCTCTCCACCTCACGCTCAGCCAAGCCAACACGCACAGACATCCTCTGAAAAATAATGTTCGTTTTAGTGAGAGTTTTACGGCACTTTTGCAACACGATTAGGTAATACAAGTGCCCGAAGATTAGAGGTGTTACAAGAGAGTAACGAACACAAAAAGGAAGGAGGAGGGATAAGGACGATGTATGTTTGATAGTCACGGATGGAAACAAAACACGTTGTTCATACCGTCATGGCAAGAACGTTTCTCAAGACAAGAATTTTTCTCAAGGCAAGAGAAGACATGTTACGATTGTGTCGAATCGTCTGCTCCTTTTATGATTGTCTGCTGTGACGAACAATAACTTTAAATATCAAAACATCTCTTTCCTTTTCAGTATGTCAACCGGATTAGCGCTTTTTAACCATATTTATTATGCAATGTGAAACCGCTTCTTTTAAAAGCGGTTCCAACACATTTTGACATTTTCTTCTTTATTCATCGCTTGGTTTTCCAGTGGGCCTTCATAAAGACTCACATACCGCGTCTTTTTTCTCTTTATGTTTACCATTTCACCAATCGTGTTCCATGTCCGATTCATTTTGAAAGTTACAACACCAATAAAGCAACATTGAGAAGCAGTCTTGTTATTTCTGAAGTCACGACTTGCTTCTTATAGAGGCAGGGAAATAGCCCTTACAAAAAGAGTATGCCTACATGCACACACATCTGAACAAATCTAGAACCTGTACTTCATCCAAATCGCTCAACAAAAACAGAACGAACCTTAAAATGCACATACTTAAGTCTGGTTCTTAGATTGAAAACAAAGTCAAGCACAAACCAATCAGATAACAGCAGGGGGGTGCGACACTTAAGCATTTGTGCTTCGAAAAGATCTGTCACGAGTAATGTTTACTTCAGAACCCCGTCTCTCTCCAGTTCCATATTATTAGTATGATTGCTTTGTTCTGTTTACTACTAGGTACCCAGATTAGTCAATAGATATAAGGGGCAGGGAGCATGTTGTGGTTGTTTGGAAAAGGTACACGCTGTATAAATGCGATTATTATGACTGTGATTATGATATCCAAAACTGTGCACTCTGACACTTGCGCGGTTCACCATGGAGCGCACCATTTGACTCAATTTGGAATCAAAGAGAAAGGTTGCGTGCACACTCGTACCAGTGCAGTCATATTAAAACTTAAACTAAATGTTGTATTGATTCAGTCTAGATATATTCAGATCACATGCTTATCATTCTTTCAACACGAAATTGGGGGAGGGGGGGATGTTTGCAGTGGTATGGTTTGTTTCTTCGACTGTTGCTGATGATCAATTTGTTCTCATCGAAAAAATGTGGCCTTATCGATCTGACTTTTTGTAACTACAGCAAAAGCAACAACAGAAAGTTATATACCCTAAGCTCCTCGTGAGGCACCCTAGTCCCCCATTTCTTGTAACAATTTTCCAGGTCTCCGTTGGGCTTCACAGTAACTGAAGATCTGTGATATACTCCAAGGTACAGAGCCAGGGGATTCAATAGGAATCTGAAAATGACGGAGAGATGGGCTGAAGGAGGTTATTGACTAAATAGCTTTTTTGGTTTTTGGTTTTGTTATATTCTGTTTATTTGTTTGGTTTTTTTTGTTATTGTTTGAGTGTTTGTTTTGTTTGTTGTTGTTGATATTGTAGCTGTTGTTGTTGTTGCTGTTATTGTCATTTTGGGGTGAGTTGGGGGTGTTTGGGAAAGGCCTGATAAAGGTTTTGACACGCTTAACGTATCCTCAATATCAATTGATATAATACAGCATATTATCTTCATATGTCTATTGCTTTAACTATCTGTCTATCGTATTATCTATACGTATGTTCGTCTGTCTATCCAATTCTTCCATTCTTTCGTTTATGCGTTTCTCCAGCGCGTTTAAACTGTTTGCTTCTCGCTGCAAGGTGAAACCCCTCCATAAGAGTGTGAGCATTTTTTATACCAGAAACCGCTAGTGTTACTTCTCCAGACTGTGAAATTAGGAT